CTACTGCTACTACTGCTATTGCTGCTGCTGCTACTGCTACTACTGCTATTGCTGCTGCTGCTACTGCTACTACTGCTATTGCTGCTACTGCTGCTGCTACTGCTACTACTGCTATTGCTGCTGCTGCTACTGCTACTACTGCTATTGCTGCTACTGCTGCTGCTACTGCTGCTACTGCTACTATTGCTGCTACTGATACTACTGCTGCTGCTATTGCTTCTGCTATTGCTGCTGCTGCTACTGCTACTACTGCTATTGCTGCTACTGCTGCTACTGCTACTACTGCTATTACTGCTGCTGCTACTACTGCTACTGCTGCTACTGCTGCTACTGCTACTATTGCTGCTACTGCTGCTGCTATTGCTGCTGCTGCTACTGCTACTATTGCTGCTACTGCTGCTGCTATTGCTGCTGCTGCTGCTGCTACTGATACTACTGCTGCTGCTGCTGCTGATACTGCTGCTACTGCTGCTGCTGCTGCTACTACTACTACTACTGCTACTACTGCTGCTGCTATTGCTGCTACTACTGCTGCTGCTGCTGCTGCTACTACTGCTGCTGCTGCTATTGCTGCTACTACTGCTGCTGCTGCTACTACTGCTGCTGCTGCTATTGCTGCTACTATTGCTGCTACTGCTGCTGCTATTGCTGCTGCTGCTGCTATTGCTGCTGCTACTGCTGCTGCTGCTATTGCTGCTACTATTGCTGCTACTGCTTCTGCTACTGCTGCTGCTGCTACTGCTGCTGCTGCTACTACTACTGCTACTGCTGTTGCGGCTACTATTTCTGCTACTCCTATTTTTACTCCTACTACTACTATTACTATTATTTGTGGAGCTACTAGTCTTTATAATATTTGCATTACTTCTGCTGCTACTAACAGTAAAACTAGTGCTGCTATTGCTATTCTAGCAGAGCCCAGTAGTGCTGCCTGTCTTTTGTAGAAGCGCTCACCCCTGTAAGATGTAAGGTTTCATCTTACAGATCAGGGCACCAAAAGCCTGAGTTACTTGCCCAAAAGGCCTGAGCTGTCTCCTGAACCCAGGCCCTCAGACTTAGGGCTGAGCCTAGGGAGGATAAGTGTGGGGTGCTCATTCTTGCCAAGGGGATGAAAACCTCAAGTGCCAGAACTCAGGTGTCAGCCAGGAGACTCGATGGTAGGATGTGGAGCCTGGCCTCTCCGTATTCAAAATGCTGAGGGAGTGAATGCAACAGGATGGAAGGTAGAAAACCTCAAAAATCCTCCTCCCCAGGATCAAGCAAGAGAGCTCTGTATATGGCTGGTTTCTGTGTCTGCCACCTTGTCAGGAAAGCCTCATAAACAGAGGTCAGCATCATAAACAGAGGAAAGGAGTCAGCAGAGGAGCACCTCACTACAAGGTCCTGGGGTCACTGGGCAAAGCTGCCTCGCTGAGCTTGGGCTTTTCATCAGCAAACAGGGGTTTTCCTCGTCACAGTGTTGAGAAGGGGTGACAGGGAAGAGTCTAGAAAGGCATTTGAGCAGGGGCTCTAGTTGCTTCCCTCTGGGAGAGAAGTGTTGGCTTTTTAACTCAACCCATGAAAGCCTGTTCAATATAAAGATTCCCAGACCAGTGAACCCCTCCCCACCTCTTAAATTCAGATTCAGTAGACTTAGGGGGCAGCCCACTGTGAACCTTGTGATTTTTTTGAAAACAGCAAACCTTGTGATTATATTGCTCAGGCAGGTTTAAGACCTTTGATCCTCAGGTGGCAGGTATGGAAACAGACCAATCAGGCAACACGTGCCCAGGCTCTCCAGTTTGTGGGCAGCAGAACCAGAACCTAAGCCAGGCTGTCAGATCCCAGTCTGGGCTAGCTGATCCAGGAGTGAGCCTTCAGAAGACCCTAGCACTCCATAATCCCCACGTTGTGAAAGAGAAACTATTGCCCAAGAAGGAAGAGGTTTGGCTAGGAGGAGCAGTGCCCAGGAGTCAGATCTGGGGAAAGCAGTTTGCTGATGCTGTCGGGCACACCTGGGTTCTGCCCAAGTCCTGCAGACAGCCCACCCACCACAGGTGTCCTTACCCATATGCCCACAGCCATGTTCAGAGCAAAGTACAAGGTGATGATAGTTATGTCAGCCACATTCAGCTGCAGCCCAGTGGTGTGGAAGTCTCCGGTGGAGTTGTTGTCATCCATCCTGAGGGTGCCAGTTCTGAAGAGAGACTGAGGGGCAAACCAGGTCAGAATGGGTTTTCTGGAGGGAGCTCATTGATCATTAAACCGAGCAGAAGGTGGCATCCTCAGCCCATGACGCAGCACCCTGCTTCAAAGTACAACTGGTTCCCCTTCATCCTCTCTAGTAGAAGAGCTCCAAGAACAGAGGGTTGTGGGGCAGAGGGGGAGAGAGTAGTAGAGAGTCACTGAAATTGAGCAGAAGGAAAATAAAGGCAAGTTTAATGGAGCTAAAGGCCCAAAATTGTCTCAGAAAGAAAGGGGCAGAGTTGCCAGTGAGTGGCTGCAACACTATGTAACTTTATGGCATCTTGCTCCTGGGACCATCGCCTTGCAGGTAGTCTTGTCCTCCCCTGAAGCCACCAGGCCTTGAGTTGATAAGAGGGACTTGGATGGAAACCAGCAGGGACCAAGATTGCTGGTGCTGGAAGTTGTTGTTGTTGTTAAGTGCCGTCGAGTCGGTTCCAACCCATAGCCGCCCTGTACAGGGTTTCCGAGGGTATAAATCTTTACGGGAGTAGAAAGCCTCCTCTTTCTCCCACGGAGCGGCTGGTAGTTTCGAACCGCTGGCCTTAAGGTTCGCAGCCCAATTCATAACCACTACGCTAACCAGAGCTCCTTTAATGTCCATGAAAAACACAATGAAGACCTATCCTCAAAATATCTGATCTCCTAATTTAGAACAAAAAAATAGGTCCCAGCCCATCAGTCTGACTATGTCTAGCTCCCCATGGTCTGTCTAGGACCCTACAGGGAGCCACGCTTGCCAAACTCCTGCCAGAGGCCAATGCCATGCTTTGTTTTACAACACCACGTTCCCTTTCATGCTTGAAGTGACCTAGTCATTTTACCATATAGTCAATGGAATGAAGGTGGGCAGAGGTAGGATAGGTGTCTGTCAGTCACACATCTATTTAAGGGGTAGAGCTGAAGTCATCCACAAATCTGACCCCAAATTCTCTGATAGTGACAATGCTGACTCTGAATCCATATGGCAGCAGAATTTCCCTTTGTCCTGATAGTCACTCAGTGATCACTCTGTGCACCCACCCAGGCCAGACCTCTCAGGCCTCCTCTGTAATGACAACACTGTCCCTCAACTTTGTCAAGCATTTGGAGTTTAATCAGTGCACATTGCCTGCCAGGATGTTAATAAGTGAGCGGCCTGCCAGTGGACTCAGAGTGTCTGCAAAACCAACAGGCTGTTACTCTATAACCTCAAAGGAAGGGTTTAAAGATTGATTCCCTAACCTCCAGGATTGGACTGAAGAAGGGAAAAATTACAAGTTGCTAATCATAAGTAGACTTCAAGCCAAGTCAGGCTGCCCAGCTCCACAACTGCTCATTCTCCTGACCTTCAGACAACTAGTCTTAGGCAGTGTTCACATCCCAAGTGATTGTTTGAATTAAGAAACCAGTCTTCAGTGGTTAAAATGACCACCTGAAAAATATTCAGATTTATCAAACCTATCTCCCTAAGCGAAAGTCATCAAACCAACAGTATTTAGTCCCCTGTCCCTTCCCTGGGTTTTAGGAGGAAATAAAGCACTAAGAGATAAAGTCCTGGGGTAAAGAAAACAGGTAGGCTATGGGGGACTGGGCAAGAGGTGGGTGGCAGCAGACATATGGTGCACACTTGAGTCCTGGTTAGACCTTCCACAGTCCTCAGGATCACATCAGGATCTTTCCAACCAGGAAAGATATGGCCTGCCTAGGTGAGAAGCCAGTCATCTCATGTCCCTGTTGATTATATCCATCTAAAAGAAAGCCTCCCTAAATGTAGAACAATCTCCCTGGACAAGATGCTGAACATCATTAGTAATTAGGAAAATGCAGGATCATTAGATTAACCCAGGTGAAGTAGGATGAATGGAGTCTTTTCTATCTTTTGGGGCAGTTATGGACTCTATGGGTCTGTTTTCTTTCTTAAGTGCCTCAGAACTATGAAGGAAACCTGGTTCATTTAAAGACTTGCCTTATCTAGCTTAGTGGGTAAGCTAGAGAGAACTAAAACATCATAAATTGTGCAACTTTGCTCACATCTACTCTGGACTGGCTGCCAAGTCAGACTCCAGCTATCTGATGCTTCTGCCTTTGAGATAAATACAGGACTTACCATTCATCCAAATTACATATCAGACACCTGTCTCTTCCTATAGAAACATTGACATGGGTGTCCATAGCTACAGTGCAAGGAATCTCAGGGCAGCAGCATGCAGGGCATGTCTTAATTATCTACCAGGAAGGTATATCCATCCTGTACAAAACTATGGCGATTAAAAAGATAAGGCAGCATTTGGTAAGGGATAAGGGTGATGGTGAAACAATATGATTGGTGGTGGTGGTGGTGGCTGTGCCACCAAGTCGGTTCTGACTCATAGCGAGCCTGTATAGGGTTTCCTGAGCTGTAAAGCTTTACAGGAGCAGAAAGCCTCATCTTTCTTCCACGGAGAGACTGGTAGATTTCAGTTGCTGACCTTGCAGTTAGCTTGTAATCCAGGGCTCCTTGAACAACATGATTAACATAATTAGAGTCCGGAACTGTACATGTGAAGTTTAATAGAAAACAAAAACAGATGAGGCAGTTTTATATAGTGATGAGAAAATTCTATACAGCTTTACATTGTGGAAAAGTATACATATCACTCACTATTTTCAAAGAGTACAATTCAGTGGCATTTAGTACACTCACAATGTTGTGCAACCATCACCTCAAATGAGATACCCATTTGGCATACTCTTACCCTCCCCCAGCCTTTGGCAAACACTAGTCTGCTTTCTGTCTCTGGATTTGCCTAATCTGGAAATTTCATATAAATGGAATCATGCAGATGTGGCCTTTTTTCACTGGTTGTTATTGTTAGGTGCCATTGAGTCTGTTCTGACTCATAGTGACCCTATGCACAAAGCATTGCCTGGTCCCGTGCTATCCTCAGAGTTGTTTCATTGGAGCTCACTGTTGCTGCCACTGTGTCAACCCATCTCATTGGGGGTCTTCTTATTTTTCACTGCCCCTCCACTTTATGAAGTATGCTGTCTATCTCCAGGGACTGGTCCCTTCTAATAACATGTGCCAGGTATGAGAGATGAAGCCGCTTCAATCCTCAATTCTAAGGAGCATTCTGGCTGTACTTCTTCCAAGACAGATTTGTTTGTTTTTCTACTTTGCATAATGCTTACAAGATTGATGCGTGTCATATATATGCTAGTGTCATATTCCTTTCTTAAGGCAGAATAATATTCATGGCATGAATAAGTCACATTTTGTTTATCCATTCGTCAGTTGATGGACATTTGGTTTGTTTCCATCTTTGGACTATTGTGAATACTGTTGCTATGGACATTTGTATATACAGTTGTTTTTTATCATGTTTTTCTTTCTCTCTCTTTTTCTTTTTCTCTGTTCATAAATTCCATTTTAATGCAAACATTACACTACAAGTTCTCTTGATGAGGAATCTGAGATTATGGATGACCAACTCGATTTTCAAACAAAGACACTGGATACGAATCTACTTAATGACACCTCTTAAAGTATTTTGTTTTCTGCTTCTAACAGAGAAGCAATTCTTTGGTTCACTTTGATGTTTCTTCAGTGTTCTCCATGATTGGTGGAGACAAGTAACTGGTGTTACTTGTCTCTACCAGGTTGATATCATACTGCGCTGAATTGGCTCACCGAAGGTGAATTGGCTCTCTGAATTGGTCCTTCCTACAAAGGAAGTAGAAGTCTCCAGTAATAAGTGTTCCTAGGATAGCCAATGCCACGAAACCTACAAATAGGTAATTTTTAGTTTGAATGCTTGAACTTGGCAGAAAAACCTCTTCACAACAAGTTCTTGTAGAATTATCAGTGCATCTATAAAATGGGCTGAGAATAGTAGATATCACATAAAAAATCCCCCCATTCAGGCAAAATTACTTCTGATGGGGACAAATCTTTGGATTTGTTGGCATCTTAATTTTTAATAGTTTCATTCTTGATCAAAAGATCAGAGTTGACATAACCCCTGCTATGTACTTTTTTTTTTTAATTTAAGGTTTT